ATGTAATGTTCATAGAATAGAGCTAAAATATTTTCATGAGGGAGAAAGTGTCTTTCCCAGTCAAAAGTTAATAATTTCAGAATGAAGCAGTCATACTTTAAGACTTTACCAGAGTCAATATTTTCTTACCTTCATTTCTTTGAATTTAGTGCTGACAGCTTTCCCCCCATATTGATTTCTATTTCTTAAGAATAAAATTTATAAATAAATCTAAAACATTTTGCCTTTATTCTCTAATCGTTACCAGTACACGCTGTCTTCTGGTATTGGGCCTCATTGCACACATCTCATGGTGTAGTTGTAGCTACAATGTATGCATATCCGCTTGTGGGCGTTACAAATGTTTCCAGCAGATTTTCAATCACAGAATTAACATTAAGCTTTGAGAAAACTGGACAAAATTAAGAAAGCTGTGTTGTGGGTGATTGCCTTGTCAGGATTTGGACAGCGTTTCCAACTGGAACAGCAGCTTTCTGTTAAAGAGTTGGAAACTACTTTTCTATCAAATCTCAGCTTTTATCTGCTTCTGTCAGCAACAAGTTTGTTATTCTGAGTCTTCAGTTCTTTTAAACAATAATAATAATAAAAATGCGACGTAAAAGCAATATTTAGCTCCTTTATAGATTTCACCATAAAATGATAAATGTAAGAACTTCATGTAATGTCATGCGTTTGACTACCACAGCCAGCTGTCTAGATGCTGAACACAGTAGCAGGACTGTTCCAGGATAGCAGTCAGCTCTCCGTAATTTTTCTCTCTCCATGTAGGGAGGAGCCTCTCGTTGTTTAGAGCCTGAAGCCTCGGCGTCCCCTCCCGGAGGACGTGGTACAGGCAGGGCCAGCGGCTCTGGATGCGCGTCCTGGTCCTGCGGTCCAGCGTGACACGCAGGACAATCTTCTTGGCTCGAAGTTCACGCAGGGCTGGCAGCTTAAGGCAGGAGAAGACCAAGCCTCGGCTCGGAGACACGTCCAAAAACTCCAGAGACTGAGACTCCAGGGTGTAGGAGATGCCGAGGTTCCTCAGCGGCACCAAGATGTTTAATGTCAGAGACTTGAGGTTAGGCAGGGATTTGATGAGCATCTGCAGCGTTGAGGGAGTCACGCATTTAAAGACCCAGAAGTATTTGAGCTCGAGGACTCGGAGCTGCTGGAACTGCGTGAGCAACGACACGGACAAATCCGACCAGTCAAAATGTAGGCGCATCTTGGAGATGCGTGGGCAGTTCTG